AAAAAAATGTTTTTTTTAATTAGTGATTTAAATCAAATCCACCCTGGGATCATGTATCTACAACAACATATTCAGAAGGGTGAAGTCTTTCTGGATGAGAGATGCTGGTAGATAATAAGGTACAAATTAGCAGAAAACTTACAAAGACAAATCTAGAAGCATGGATAAAATCATGTTGACAGCTGTATGTAATCTGAGATACAGAGAGGGTGTTATATAAATATTCTTTGGTCCTGTGCCAAAGGTGTGAGGCTTTGAAAGCTGGGACAAAGGGGCATCATGGTCTCTCTGGTGTAAGTTCTGTGCATGGCTTTCTTGACGAAGGAAAGATGTTAAAGACAATGAGTGGTGTTTAATCTTGACTTAATAACTAGAATCCTATTGGTGTTCATATAAGGTTTGTGTAACTTGTTGAGCCTAATTGATGATATACTGAGATGCAATTTGGTTGTGCAGCCAAGATATGGCTAGGCACCTCGTTAATTAGCAACAGTTAGGTACAGCAGGTTGTGCCAATTCCTATGTGAATATGAATAGGATCCTGATTAATATAGTCAGCATCCAGTAGTAACCACAACAGTGTAGCAGCATATTCATGTCTAGTTAGAGCTGTTGAAACCTTCTCCAAAAATATGGCTGTCACCTGTTCTGGTCACAGGCAACAGGACAATTGTATATGTTTTAAGAATTAATAATTTAAATGTATATCTTACTTTATTATGTTAAATGTGTTCAGTGTTATGCATTTGTTTTGTTTTACTACATTCTTAATTCATATTGCAAACTACCTAGGGATCTATTTTATAAACAGTGGCATATATGAATGTTGTAAAGAAAAGTAAGTCATGTCTATTTTCAGAACACATCCCTTCTGGCATTGCATGCTATGTATTATAACATTGTAAAGTTTATCGCTCTCATTTGCTTTAAATGACACATTAGATCTCGGGTTTATCTGTTGTAGCATACGATGGTGTGTTAAGGATTTGATAATTGACTTTATTGTTTTGACTTCAACCTAATTAGAACAAAATTAATTATCTGCACTGTGCATTTATGAGTGTTATGATTATTCCTTAGAATTTTATGTTCTAGAAGGTGGCTGGGAATCTCTGGTGGAATTCCTGTCATCCTCACAAAACTATAGTTCCTAAGGTTCCACCTAGAAACTTATGGCAGTTAGACTGGCTTATGTTTGTAGGTCAAATTCAGCTTTATCATACTAGAGGGACATTAGCAGCTTACTGGTGAGATATGGGGCTCTTGCAGTATGTTCTTGAGAATCTTCGGGATCTGTCTATTGATCTTGTTATTTTTCTGTCCTTTGTCTATGTAAGAACAGACATCATGTTTGTAAAAGCATTTTTATTCCTGCCGAGATGGTTTGGTATAAGGAGAGAGGTTTTTTTTAATGTCTTCATTTAGCAATGAGGACAAAATAGTGTGTGTGCGTAATTAGTGTTGATCTCTTTGGAAAATTCCAGTTATCAAGATGATTGTGTTTGAGCCAATCTTTTACTGTGACTTCAATTGTGCCTGTAGAGGAGGAGTTCTAGAGAATAATATTGAGAAGGTGAGTAGATGCCGCTACGTTTACAATAAACAGCATAGAGTCTTGAGTCTTAAAGGCAAATGTGTTTTATTGGACATAAGCTTTTGTGGACTATACTAGCTGACCTTTTCAGCTTCATCTTGCATCTGAAGAAGTGGTCTATAGTCCAGAAAAATGTATGCCAAATAAAAAGTTGCTAATTTTCTGAGGTGCTACTTCTTGACTTTTTGCTGCAGCAGTCTACAGATTAAAGTGGTTATCCCTCTGGAATTATTTTAACTGTAGGTGTTATATCCCTTGGCAAAAGTCTGGGCGGACTCCAATATAACATAAATTGTAGTTTTGCATTAACTTGTTAAAACAATACATCATGTACATTAGACCCCAGAAACGTCTTTGCTTTCCTCTTCTATCCACTCAGCATCACATGCATATTACTGTACTTGTAGAAAAGTGTAGATGAGATAAAGACTTTTGTGATAAACAAAACTTACTTCAAAATATTTCAGAACCACAATTAGATATTTGATACACTTCAAATTGGGCTTAACCCACTTATCTTAGGCTTGAAGTAATTTAATGGTGTTTTGAGATACATGGGCATTTTTCTGTGTCTTGTAGAATATTGCAGAATTTTTAAGCCTGGTGTTTTGTTTTGTTTTGTTTTGTTTTGTTCCATTCCCTCCCAGCCTTCATAGCTAATTAGTTAATCAAAATCCAACGGGATTTAGGAAGAATGACTAGAAAATCAATATGGGATATGGTGCAGATGGTTAGATTAATGCATTATATTAAACTATTACCTTTTTACTGCTGAATTATACTTTTAAAACTATTATTTCAATCTTAAGAGTAGTTTGTATTGCCATGTATGAAGTGTAATCTGTTTCCTGCATATTATTTTCATATTATTTTCATAGACACTCGCCTTTGTATTAAATGTTAAAGAAATGTGATCCAAAAGGGATGTTTGAATGGTCCAGGAGTGTGTACCTAATGCTGAACTGAATGTGAAGCTAATCATACCCTTAAATTGGAGACCACTTGGGACCTCATTATAAAAAATGGTGATGGATGATATTTGATATTTGAAAAGAAATGTGGTTAACTTGCTTAAGCTCTGCTATTTTAGGCTGCTGGTTACTGAGTCTGCATGGTAGATGGCATTATACTATCAACATGCATGCATTTCCAATTACTGGGTCATGTCAGGGATTCTGACAGGGATTCTTACTAGGTCATGTCAGGGATTCTGACACTTGAACATCCTCCCAAGAACCCTACAGAACTTTATACATCTCTAGGGCTTAACTCCGAGAGAGGCCCAGAAAGAAAAAACTAGATACTGGGCCTTCTTGGCAGTGGCCCCTCGCCTTTGGAACATCCTCCCCTCTGAGATCTGCCAGACTCCCTCTCTGGGAGTTTTAAAGACTAAACTGAAGACCTGGCTCTTTAGGCAGGCCTTCCAGCCTGCCACTACAGTATTAAATTTTTCCTCTGGTTTTTGACTTGTTTTAGTCTTTTTATTGATGATTTAAATTTTATTGCCTTTTTGGACTGTAACCCACCCCGAGTAGATTCATCTAGATGGGTGGTAAACTGTAACCCGCCCCGAGTAGATTCATCTAGATGGGTGGTATAAAAGCCAAACAAACTAATAAAAATAAATAAATAGGGAAAAACAGAAGCCTGTGTTTGTCGCAGCTGGAATTCATCCCAGTAAAGGGTTAATTCCAGAATGAAACCAGACAGGAGTTTCCAATCATGTCAGAATTCATCTGGATATCAAGGTATCTTTCATTGTTGTAATGATTCCAGACAACATGAGCTTGTCTAATTCTACAAGCTTTACCTACATTGCTTCTATGTTCCATAAGCACAAAAATACTTCAAATATTGCAGACATTCAAAAGTTACAGCTATGAAAAAAAGTAGGCACAAATACTTAAAAGTAAATGAAAATTAAACTTAAGTTGCAGTCAAGTACTTAAGTCAGAACTCAGTCCAAAATATGGTAGAAATACCTTTTGAGAGTAAAAAAAGAATAGTGAGAATGTTTCAGTTGCATTCTAAAAATGCAAGAACTTGCAGCCTAAAAAAGAACAAAGAACTTGCAGCCTAAAAAAAGAACAATCAAAAAGCAAAAGGCAGAGAATATATATCGCAAAATATAAAAGTTGTTAAAATTAAAAATTTATGAAAAGAAAATAGATTATACACACAGCATAATTCTAAATGCTCATTGAGCTAAACCAGTTTGAATCTGTGGAGGAAAATCCATATTGCTTCTGTTCCTGGATTTTGAAAATGAAGCCTGCTGTTGTGCTGCTACACGGTAGTTGTTGATATCTGGTGTGTGTGGCATGGCATGCAGCATTGCCTTATGATGATGATGTGATAATGAGTTGTATATCTTATCTTCCCATATTAATAGTTCTTTTACTTGTTTATTCCCCCGCCCCAAATCTTTAAACTGTCTCTCTTCCAGGGGCCTGGAGAGCCAAGAAAAAAATTCAATAGGAAATTCTGTTGTTCCTGCACCTACTGTAATTCCAAGGTTTTATAACTTAGAATGTGACAATTTGCCACTAGGGCGATAAGGTTGTTGTCTGTACTAAAATTCAGCAAAGCTTAGAGGAATAAGGCTTTGTTGTACCAGCGTCCTGGAATACCAGAGTATTGTAACTCTGAGGTATTAGAACTACAAAGTGTGTAAGCTATAGGATCTGCAAACACCACCTCCATATTTACATATCACAACATAGATATGTTCAACTGTTAGGATTGTTATACTACAGTGACCTTGCTCAGTTGAAGAGCTTGCTAATTGTTTTGCAATTACTATAGTAAACTATTGTTCAAGCTTCAATTTTAAAAGCACTAATTTTCAGGGCTACTTTTTCTACATAACTCCCTTAATTATTTTAACACAGAAAATTTCACATCTTGACATCTGAACATAGCAGGTTAGAGCTGGTCAGAGTTGAAAGTGGTTTTCCTTGTTGCAAATTATCAAGCTTCTCAAGCAGAGTAGCACAGAACTGGTTACTTGCTTAGCCCTAATTTAGCAGACATTTGAATCACAAAGAATAACTTGAGAATCCATGTAATAACCCTGTGTGAGAGGAGAAATGTATACACATGAGACATAATAAAACTTATTTTCATATATCAGCAACCGTATACCAAGTCCAGTTGCTCTCTCATTTTATTTTATTTTTTCAGTTTTGCTAACTGAGTGTCAGGTTGACTTTTGGATATGAGTCAGCCTATACAGATGGATCATGAAATACAATTAGGTTATTGCAAGAAGGAACTTGTATTCAGACTGTTTTTAAAAACTCTCTTGTGGTTATGTGTATGTATCCTGCTATCAGACAGCAAGAAAATGTATCTGTCTTGTAAGACGAATTTCATCAAGCCCTTCTCCCCCCCCTTTTTTTTCTAGGATGCGTCAGGATGAAACGCCACAGGCATCTAAGCAGCAGTGACAGTTCAGACAATGAAAGTAAGTCGTATGATCTGGTCTTCGTTTGATCTCTCATCCCCTTTTGTGGTTTCCTCCTCCGGTCTGTGGGCAAACTGTTACATTTCTTTTTATGGTTTGAGAAGAGTGCATTTCTTGTTTGATTTCATTTTCTCTTGCACATTGGGGTATTTGGTATACATAGAGAAGGCCAAGAAAAAAAGAAAAATTACATTGGAAAGAAGAATGTGGTGTTCAGTTCAGATTCTTCTTTCCTTAGCATTAAAAAAACCAATTCTAAATCAAGAGAAGTTGGATGTACTGTACTCAGTTAAATATTTTGAGGTCTCTGTTTTACAGGTTAATAGTATGCTGGTTGCACTCATTTTGGTATAATCATGCTATAGTTTGTAGCAGATTTGTCATAATCCAGTGTGAATGCTCAGTAAAACACTTTATGTCAGTAGATGTCAGATATATAGAAAAGGAAAGGGATACTGTTTTAAACTCCCAATTGACTTTTTTCTACTATTTCACGTGAACGTTTTCTAATGCAACAGTCTCATTTTTCCCATAAGAAGTAACAAGAATAGTCCTATGGCACCCTAAAGATTAAAATCTTACTATAGAATGAAGTTTCAGTGTCTTTAACATGCTGCACAACTAATTTGTTCATTTGAACTTTGGCTCTGATTTGCAAAGCTTCTAAATGAGGTGCCAAATGTTCTAAACTATGCTTCCCCAACATGATATTCCACAAATATTTTGGACTATAGTTCCTGTCAGTTCTACCCACTCTGATCATGGGTTAGAGATACTGGAATTTATAATCCAAGATGTTTGGCCATGTACCAGGTTGAAAAAGCAGGACCACATAAGGACGTGTGCCTACAGCAGACAACTTCCCTGGCAGCTACTACAGATAAAGTCTGAAGGGCCTTATCGTTGCTCTTCCCATCCATCCTGTTGCTTCTTAGTTATCCTTCCAGATGTGTTCATTTTGACAGTTCAGAATTCAGCTGAGAGCAGAGAAAAGCCATCTGAAAGGCCAGGGATGGGCGGGATTTTTTTAGTTTTCATCTTTCTTTCTCCTTTGAAGACTGAAGTAAAAGACTGAAGTAAAGGGGTGGTACTGCTGAGAGGCTTAGGAAGCCTTTTTGGTGCAAGGGCTTGAAGGAGGCCACCTGAGACCTAACAAAGGTGCCTGTGGAATACGATCAGCATTAAGCAGGTACAGTAGGTGACATTCTGCAATATGCAGAATATCATTTCTTGTGCTGTGCATCAGCTGAACATTGATTTGGAAATTTGGAGCTCAACAAACATACATATCACTGTAATTAAATTAAGAAAAGCAGAGCCACAATCCCATGGTCATCACATAGAGAAAACCAGAAATGATGTAACAGATGTGTGTAATCATTCCAGCTATCTGTAGTAGACCTGGACACATCTAGGTTGCACATCCAGACACATTAATAGATGGTCAGAAAATAGTGAAACCTAATTGTGTCTTTTCACCATATGCAGGCAGAATTCTGCAATAGGATTTTGGCCACACTTAAAACTCAGATTTTTAAAAATCCCATTTAATTTTGCCTTGAGAAAGTAAATATGTAGATTGAGATAGTGGCTGAAATCCTGTTGCATAGCATTGTAAGACACACCAGAGTAGGCCTATTGAATCAGTAGGGATTTTGTGAGTCAATTCATTCATAAATTCTATGGATCCAAATGGTGCCCTACTTTAATTGTGGCGTACTATGCTAAAGTGGTAGAGTGGGCCCATTTTCATCCAGTGACCAAAATCGATTTGATTTTTACAGTCAGAGTTCTGGAGGTGATAATCTCAGGACTCAGAAATACACCAGAACCCCTCCTCAGAATTGAACCATCCTGCCACAGTTGGCTGTCATTAATCACTTATGGGCCATTGTATCTCTTTATGCAGTTCACCAATTCATCTATATCTCAGATAACTATCCCTTGACTTAGGCATTCTCTCTGATCTGCAACCCTAAGCATAAGGGCTTGATCATCCTTAATTAGAGATTACCATCACAGTGGAAAACTGGCAGAACTCTCTCTTTGGATAGTTGGAAAGCGAGTCTTTGGAATGTTGCTTTAATGGAAAAGCTGTCACAGCAGATATGTATGTTCATGAATTTAAGTAGTCGTGATACATGATTGCCACGTGGTCTCCTTTTATTAATTACATATATAATAACAAGGTTTCATATTATCCCCCTGCAGCCTATGCTACATTGTAGAACAATGTATATGACTCAGCATTATGCCTTTATAATGACTTCTTGTGACTAATCATAGATAGGTTTTAAATATATTTTTGCAATATTCTTAGCAATTATGCATATAATTGAATACATTTTAAAAATAAAAAAATATAGATAGTTTTGTTTTTTTATCAGATAGCTTCTCCTGATATAAAAAGTAGAAAACCAATAAGTGTTTACTTTAGAAAGGATCTGTATGTCCATGGCCTTTCTTCAGTCATGTGAGTGCATGGATTTATGTTCAGGAAAATGTTGAAGAAATTAATTATCCCAAGTGTCCCAAGACAACTGGTTCATAACAGGTTTGGTTGCTCCAAACAGAACATGGAAACCTGTGACAAGTAAATCTTCAAGCAGTGATGTGAATCAGCCTCAGATATCAGGAGGTTTATGCCTACATGGTATTGAATGAAGCACTCATAATCCTCTCCATCTCATTGTTGCTGTTTCTTTAGGTCCCTCCACTTCTTTCTCCTTTTGTTCTAAGTACAGGAGCAAATCAAAAACTCCAGCAAATGAGCAAAAGAAACCTGCTGAGGTAAGATGCTTTTTGGTTCTTAAAAATTGTTCATTTCTCATGAGTGTTGTTTAACACAC